AGTCTAATCCAGCCAGTGCTACAATGGAATGGTTGTTTAGGGTCTTTATCCAGCTGGAAGGTGAATCTCCGCCCCAATCTCAAGTCTTTTGCAGACTAACAGGTTTTCTTCTAAGATTCCCCTGTATTTGGCTCCATCCATCTTCCCATCAACTCTGGCCAGCTTCCCTGTCCCTGCTGAAGAAAAACATCCCCGCAACATGATGCTGCCACCACCATGCTTCACGGTGGCGGTGGTGTATTCAGGGTGATGTGCAGTTTTAGTTTTCCGCCACACATCATTTTACTATTAGGCCAAAAAGTTCAGTTTTGGTCTCATCTGACCAGAGCACCATCTTCCACATGTTTGCAGTTTGTGAAAAGCCATGTGGGGGACACAGCAATCGTGTCTTCCTATGGCTTTCTTCTTGCTGCTCTTCTATAATGGGCAGATTTGTGGACTGCACGACTAATAGTTGTCCTGTGGACAGATTCTCCCACCTGAGCTGTGGATCTCTGCAGCTCCTCTAGAGTTACCATGGGCCTCTTGGCCGATTTACTGATTAATGCTCTTGTTGCCCGGTCTGTAAGTTTAGGTGAACAGCCATGTCTTGTTAGGTTTGCAGTTGTGCCATACTCTATTTTTGGATGATGGATTGAACAGTGCTACGTGAAATGTTCAAAGCTTGGGTTTTTTTTTTTTTTTAAATAATCTAACCTTGCTTTAAACTTCTTCACAACTTTATTCCTGACCTGTCTGATGTGTTCCTTGGCCTTCATGATACGGTTTGTTCACTAATGTTCTCTAACAAACCCCTGAGGGCTTCAAAGAACAGCTGTGTTTATACTGAGATTAAATTAGACACAGGTGGACTCTATTTACTAAGTAGGGGACTCTTGAAGGCAATTGGTTCCACTAGATTTTAGTTAGGGGTATCAGAGTACAGGAGGCTCAATACAAATGCACACATTTTTCAGATATTTGTTAAAAAAAAAAAAAAAAAAAAAAGTTTCATTTTCCTTCCACTTCACAATTATGTGCCACTTTGTGTTGGTCTATCATATAACATCGCAATAAAACACATTTGTTTTTGGTTGTAACATGACAAAAGGTGGAAAATTTAAAAAGGAAAATTTAAAAAGAAAAAGTATGAATACTTTTTCAAGGCACTGTAGTTGGTCCCAAGCCCTGTATCATGGAGGACTTCACTTTCAAGGAACTGCTGGGTGCATAGTTGGACCCTAGTCTCGTAATATGTAATACTTCACTTCCAAGGAACTAGTGGATGCATAGTTGGACCCTAGCCTAGTACTATACAATACTTCACTTCCAAGGAACTGGTGGATGCATAGTAGGACCCTAGCTTCGTAATATGGAATACTTCTCTTCCAAAGGAACTGGAATTGGGTGATGACTTATGTGCTTGGCAAGATTGTACAGAAATTTAAATATACAAGCTCCAGCGCAGCTGTGCTATAATTACCGCACTTTATACTGCTAGCATACACAGAACAAAATAAAAAAATTGGCAAAAAAAGGTATAATTTGTGTAATGTTCAAAAAGGTATAATTTGTGCAACATTCAAATTCCACTAAATATAAAGTCATTAACATAAAAGTCTCACAAACATTATATAAAGTGCTCTTCTAAAGGAAAACAAACACCCTTCTATTAAGAGGTCTATTTTAAAGCGTGAACTCATTTCCAAACAGTCTGGGTGAAGGTCTTTGTGAAAGCAAGGTATTTTGAAGGTGAAACAATATTACAAACTTTGAAAGTGTGTGGATTCACAAAATATGCTTTAATAGAAGGAATTTTTAGGGAACTCTTAAGGCGTCAGCATACCAAGCCATTCTGGACAATTTCATGCTCCCAACTTTGTGGGAAGTTTGGGGATGGCCTCTTCCTGTTCCAACATGACTGCACACCAGTGCACAAAGCAAGGTACATAAAAGACATAGATGAGCGAGTTTGGGGTGGAGGAACTTGACTGCCCTGCACAGAGTCCTGACCTCACTGACCTCAACCAGACAGAAAACCTTTGGGATGAATTAGAGTGGAGGCTGTGAGCCAGGCCTTCTCATCCGACATCAGTGCTTGACCTCACAAATGCGCTCCTGAAAAAAATGGTCAAAACATTCTCATAGGCACCCTCCTAAACCTTGTGGACAGCCTTCCCAGAAGAGTTGAAGCTGTTATAGCTGCACAGGGTGGGCCAACTCAATATTGAACCCTATGGACTAAGACTGGATGCCATTAAAGTTCGGGTGTGTGTAAAGGCAGGCATACCAATATAGTATATTTGCGCAATACTCTAAGCTTTTTTTTTTTTTTTTTTTTTAAATCAGAATAAATATATCTGAAGACTGTGTCCTTTAGCTAGGTATATATTACTGGGTTTGGGTTTTTTTTTTTTTTTTTTTATGAAGCACAAGTTATTTGTGGAGCAAAAACCTTACCACCTGCCTACACGTTTGTATTGCTATCTGCACCTTGTTGCTAGAATCTATGCATTGCAGAATGCAAAGTGCCTCCAAAGAGTATGTTTGCGCTGTACACATGTAAATGTTGGCACAAATATTTACCTGTGTACCACGTATAGTACAATCCACATACAGAACTGTAGACACAATTTTTTTTGTGCAGCTACAGATTATGAAGTTTGGAGCAGCTGTGTATATTTGCCCAATGCATAATGGATCTGAACGCATTACAAGTATTGTATGTCTGTGTGAATGCACCCCAATGGTAAACCTGATGCAGACTTGTCCGAATCTGTGGCAATGTTCCGCTCAGGATTACAGGAGCAGGGAGCCACAAATACACACAAAAATGGTTGCATAGAATTTACCAGACTCTTGTGTCTAAACCTGCTAGGTACATGGCCCTCAGTGAGTAAAGTACACCAACTGATCATGCAATCCACTCTTGTCGTGGCCTAGAACTGAACAAACAGGTAAAGCTCAGTTTTCTAAGGCTCACAGCACTTCTCATGTCATTGTGTTACCAGAGAGAGATGGGTTAGTGTGCAGAATATCTATGGAAAGTGTGATATGGCGAGAGCAATGTCACAGAACTAATAAACCAGTGTGTAGTGCTGCGCTGCTCAAAAACACTAAACGCTGATCCAAAAAAAACAATTCACACGTAAAAAACTCAATAGAAGTCCAAAAGGAAAAAGATGTAAAGTCTCTTCAACAATGTAGGTGGGAAGAACGTATTCCTACTGGAGAGTAAGCCCACTATCCCTGTGCTGTAAATCTTTAATTGCTGTGCATTACCACAGTGACCATATGAAAATAGGTGGACCCTCACCTTCATGTATGGACCTGTATAGAAAACAGGTCATACAGGCATCTCCTCTCCTAGTGGGGGTGAAATAGTGGCCTCTCCTCTCTGGATAATCCGCCTTTCATATACGGTCACTGTATCCTCCAAGAGAACCCTTTAACAGTATAGCTGGCTCTGTGGGTACAACACACAACCATATAGAGTGACCAGAGTGCAGCACGTTTCTTACAACCTCAGAAAGTTTATTAAAAATGCACTCACATGTTACAGTAGTGAAAACACCGCAGTGTGACAAAAGCTGAGAGACAATGCGGCGTCTCTGACCGTGCTAGTGGTGATCCAGTTCTGACATCACCTGGCAACTCCCCACAGAAGACAACAAATCGGTTTTCTAGTGGCCTATGTCTGCATGTTTTCTATACGGGTCCATACGTGAAGGTCCACCTATTTCATATGGTCACCGTGGTGATACACATCATTTAAAGATTTACAGCACTGACATAGTGGGCTTACTGTCCAGTAGAAATACATTCTTCAAGAGATTTTCCTTTTGGACTTTGAGTTTACATGTTTTTTGGCTTTATAAGTATGGTATGTTTAGTGTTTTTGAGCAGCGCAGCACTACACACTGGTTTATTAGTCCACACGTGATGGACACACACACACTTTATTAGTCCACACGTGATGGACACACACACACTTTATTAGTCCACACGTGATGGACACACACACACTTTATTAGTCCACACGTGAAGGACACACACTTTATGTGTTTGCAGCAGCTCGTATTCACAAATGTTTCACCATTTAATTACCTGGCAGCGCACAAATAATATTCTATTCAATGTCACAGAACTAGATATCTCCTGCAGACAAGAACAACCTGATTTACCAGCTTATCCTGCAGACAATGGATTTGCTTTCCTTATTTGCAATCAAAGTTAAAATAAACCTTTTCACCTAAATGTTTAAAGAGGAACTACAGTCAGAAGCTACAAATACTGTGGCTCCTGACTTAAACAGACAGACACTTACCAGTCCAGCGCTTTCTTCATCCAGGCCGGTTCTGTCTCAGTCTTCTCATCCCTGGTGCCGCCATCTTGACTGTGGGTGCCAGCACTGCGACTTTCTGCTGTTTCAGCCAGCTCCCCACTGCACAGGATTGCACTGCATTTTCAGCTGGTCTGAAACTCATGTAAATCTTACCTAGGCAACAAAAGTGGAGGTGGAAGCAGATACCCATCAGAAAAGGGTACCTGCTCCCCCGCCCCCCCAAATAAAAATAAACCCCACACACTTTTTAAAAATGGTGGGGGGAATTTTTATATATGTTCAAAGTAAACTTTTTGTGATATTGTGATAGGAGTATGGGAGCTGCTATTGTCAAATCCTGAAAATGCTAGTTACCTGGCTATTATACTAGCCCCTGAATTAGAGCAAGTATGTGATCAGCAAAGTCACACTACATTCATAGTCCCTTCGTAACCTATTGAAGCCAGAAGGTCAGCAAGACAGCTAGGAGGACTAGCAGGAAAGTCTCTCCTGCAAGACAAATTGCAGCCTGTTTAAAACTGAACCGCAGGCAAACCACACTACCACGGTGTACACAGAGGAGAGATAAACAGAGATATTCAGGGATGTTCGATTCCTATCGCCCGACGCCAGGGACATGTAGTTTCAGGCACTGGGCAGGTAGTTTTTTTTTCTACGGGGCAAACAGTGGGCTCACCTGTCAGGTGGAAGCATTGGGGTGACTGCGTTGCTGCCCGATTGCCTCCACACAGTGCCAGCCTCTCTCCCCATGAGGTCTCCCGGGCTCCACTTGCCCATCTGCTAGAGGGCCCTTGCTTTTCCTGACCCAGAAGTGACGTTATGTCATCACTTCCAGGTCCCCATTGAGGGCTGTGAGTAGAAAGCTCAGTGATAATCAAAGACACCAGTGACTGAGACGGAGCTCCCCTAGTCACCGCATCCAGTAACAGCAGAACTGTGGGTACAAAGCGGAGACGCGCAACCTGTGTAGGACAAAATGAAAGTTACTCTATTGAAAGATAAATAATGCATGTTCTAGTCAATCATGATTTAATATACCGATAGGAAAAAAAAAAAAAAAAAATGCCCATAATGGCTTCTCTGCTTTTTATTACTAAAGAAATGTGTCAAGGCAACTCACATGCAAAGCCGTGTCCCATAGACTTTCATGCAAAGTCACCCCCTAGTAACTTGAATGCAAAAACGCCAGCCACATTTAAATACATGTAAAAAAAAAAAATTAAACACTGCTCGTTTCGGTTTTCGGCCACGTGCATCCTGAATTTTCGGTTTCGGCACCATGATTTTCATATTGCCACCACTAAATATATATATATATATACATATATATATATATATATATATATATATATATATATATATATACATATAATATATATTATATATATATATATTGCACACAACACACAAAAACAAAAAAAAAAGGGAAAGGGAAGAGCAGTTCCTTATCCCCATTGCGTTTCACCAGCTCATTAAAGACTCAAGGCTCAGTGGAAGGTATAATGATCATTATCTGCCTTTACAAAAAAGGAGCTGTAACTAGTGAAATTCAATACACTAGGTAAGGTGGATTTTCAGTTCTGGCTAATACGCGGTCTTTGTTGCCAGATCTCCAACACGAAAGGGATAATCCCTGATGTCAGCAAACATAATGTGAGAGAAAAGCTGGCCATATATATTATACAGACCTATTGTACAATTTTTCCTTTAGAATTACCAAAAACCATATAAACATGAGGTCAAAGTTAAAGACTTTCAATTTGCATCCAATCGGGCAGGCCCTTGCACTACATAGCTGAAAGCAAATCTAAAGGAGATTGTACAGAAATTGTGCAAGAAAAAAGTCCATTGTATGGCCAGCTTCATTCCCTCAGTAGGCCATGCTGATGACCTTGGCAGAGGTTCATTGTTAGCAGGCCAGAAGATAAGTAGGCTCTGACATACTGCAGGGTTCTGCTACAGATTTCCTGCTAATCCCATCAAATTACTGGAGAAGGTATTTGGAATACGGCTAAAAAGTTTTATTTTGTATCAGATGCCTTCCTGGGAGGATGTAAAGCGGATTGATGAGGTTATGTCTCCTATTGTTACAAAGTACCATGGCCGAATCCTGAAAACATGACGGCCTTGGCCTTTCGCATAGCCTTGGCAGGTGTCCAGTCCACATTATCATCACCTTGCCAATTCGATGGACTAGATGCCTGCAAAGGTTCATCAACTTGTATGAGATCAGTGCATGGCGAGAACTTTGGAAAGCTTTTAGTAGGTTTCAAGCAGCTTTGCTGAAACCTTTAAGTAGTTCCCCTCTGAACATGTCTGGTTTTTCCAAAGTGTGAAGAGGTTAAACAAGCTCCCTACAGCAGTAATAGCAGTGAGAATGACTGGTCCCTTTTGCAGGTCTAGCTATGTAATCCAGTAAAAAAAAAAATACTGTATTTTTCACCGTATAAGACGCACCTGACCATAAGACGCACCTCGGTTTTAGAGGCAGAAAACAGGAAAAAAAAAAAATTTCTGAACTAATGGACTGCAGACACAGTACAGGAGATGACCAGAGACTGCGGACAGTACAGATGACTGCTGACCTTTGGAGAGGTGGGGAGCGGGTACCTGAATTTGACAGGTACCCGCTCTTACTTCCGCAGAGTTTTTGTTTGATCTTACCTGTTCCTCGATCCAGCCGCGCGCTGTCTTCCCGGCTTCTGTAATGGCGCTCGGCATGACAGTCGGGTGCCCAGTGCGCATGAGCGAGAAGCACTTGCGCTTTGTGATTGGTCCGGCGGCTTCTGGGATCTGTCATGTGTCCCAGGTACCGCCTTACCATTCACAAAAAGCACTGCTTCTTGCGCATGCGCACTTGGCACCCTGCTGTCATGCCCAGTGCCCACACTACAGAAGCCGGGAAGACAGCACGCCGCTGGATAGAGGAACAGGTAAGGTCCCGCTGCAGAGCTGAGCGGCCAGCCCGGTATTCTGACACGGCCGCGGTGGAAATACCAGACCGGCCGCTCCATATTCGCTCCATAAGACGCACTGACATTTCCCCCCCAGTTTTGGGGAAGAAAAAGTGCGTCTTATACGGCGAAAAATACGGTAAGTGCCTATACTGATAAATATCCAGTAATACACTGTCTCACCCTGTTCTACACATGCTCAGTTCCTCTCTATTTTTCAGCACTCTGCTAAAATTGTAGAGGCCGATCTGCCGACAGCTTAAATATTTTCTGCTGCTCAGGGGTTCTGGGCTGCAAGCAAGAAGAAACAGGAGCAATGCTGGAGGCAATTTACAGCACACACTAATTTTGGTAGCATAATTATTCATGTGGAATGTATGATCCTTACTAAAGAACATTTTCTATCAAGTTTTTATGGGTAAATTTCTGCTTTACAAGAGCCTGCCAGGAATCTGTGACTGCACTGGGCTAATCATACCTGGATGAGGAATTCCCAACCTTGTAGTTGCACATACACATGCCCTTTGCATATGTGTGAGGCAGCAAGTGGGTGAATGCCCCAGCTGCAGATGACTGGCCCAGTACAGCGACAGCTTCCTGGCTGGCTCAGGTGAGTTCATACTAGGATCCGAACATGCCCTAGCTCATCCCAGATATATTTTAATGTTAAGTACATACATGCTAACATGCACGTGTAACACTTCCAGGTATTTATTACTTCTCAGAGATCACAGTACTCTTGCTGACCATGCCTTTCACGGTTTCTCTCTCCAGAAAGACAGCACCAGCTTTGTTCAAGCAGCATCCATAGGTCAGCATCTACTTCTTGGATGCAGATACTGGCTCAGAAATGACAATGTAAATCCTGGTGCCTGTGCCATTCTTGGTTATGTTTACCAATGTCTGCAACAGATCAAGCCCCATTCTGCTGCCTCTCACCTTGTGACTTACTACAAATTTACAACATAAAGTCTGATCATTAGGGGAAGAAGAGACTGGGGAAATGCTTCCTCCCCCTGTAGCGGACATCATATCAGCCTTGTGAAAGTCACCTTTCTGGAGCTCAAGAGCTGCTTTGGTAAAGTCCACTTTCCCCCTGATGAATGCAGTAAGCGGAATAGAAAAAGCTCCTTTATCCTCTTTCACACGGGGCGGACTCCATTTTTCTCAACAGTGGATGTGTCTGCTGATTGGAGTAGAGGAGGTGGATGACAGGTCCATGACTGCTCAGTTTATGTGGAGCATACACAGACAGAGCTCACTCTTCTCTATGGGCTGCCAGCAGTAAATGGACTCTACTGCCATTTACACCCGACTGCCACCCAATCTCCCTAAACAGAGGGGGACATATCCCAGAGAGGGCCCAAGTGGGTCCTCCCAGCGAAGACTGACCAAAGTCCTGTTAGTCCCATGGCATAGTACTTTTGTACAGCATCAGGCACGACCATATACCTGTCATTACCAGAACTAGATCAAGTAGTCGTACTTCATACCAATGCCTCAAAGGTCAAATATCAGTACACGTCACTAATAGCACTTCACGCCTTGAGTATTAGTCAGAAAAATTATCTACTAAACAAATATCACTTAAATGTATGACGACAGGTCCAGAAATATATTTTCATGTATTAGGAGATAAGGTTCTCCTAACATTTCTTGGGTTTAAACCAAATACAAAAGAATAGTGAAATACATATTTTTATATTGTGAATGGACATTTTATTTTTCCCTTATCGAAATTTTATTTCTAGACCTGAAAAGAGATAATCAGGAGATGACAATTCTGCCTTTCTACAATGGTATACTGGGTTGTATTCTCTCCCCACCTGTACCAACTTAAGGGTTTGTTTACACCAGCAGCAGGCACTACATTACTGCTGTGTTGGGAGGCAGTGGTGCCCATGTACTATAAACAGCACATCACACAGTCTTTTCTGGTGCAAACTTAATTGAAATATCAAAAAGTGCCATAATATTACGGAAAGCAATACAATACCCAATTTACACAAAATTGCCTGATCCCTCTATAAACACAATCAGTGTTGATGGGGGAATCCCTCCTGCAGTGCTATTGTGTTATGCTGGCAGGGAGCATTCTGTGCCCACAGAACACAAAGATGGCTGCTAAAGCCGCCGGTAGTGATCGCATGCAAAAAAATAGGACAGGCTGGTTGTACTGAAGTTAATCATTGGATCAACATCAGTACAACCAGCCTGCTCGTAGATGGATCAAAGCTCAGATAGCCCCTGCTGAAATTTGAACCATCTATGGCTGGCTTTAGGCCAACAAGTTGTGCATTGTGATGGATTGCGTTGCACATAATTTTTTCAGTTCAGCATGGTGTGACAATCCACCACAACTAGGAGGACTAATTGACATAAGAATGTCCAGGCCCTTAAACGTGTGTAGCTGATGTCCATTGTGTAGGGAATCTGGTCCACTCCCCTTATGATTGACAGCAGGCAGCGGGTGGATCTATAGCCAATAGTCTTTTTTATTTTTTAGACAAAAACAATCTGACCACTGTCTGCCTCCAATCACAAGGACAAAGGGGACCTGATGGGAAACTAGTGTCTCAGCTTCCCATTACGCACAGCCCACTGTCAGTGTCCCTGGTTGTAGGAGGCTGTCAGCTGCGTCGATGACAGTGTCCTTACATGAAACTAAACTCACCGATTTAACAGTTTCCTAAAACAGTTACATTTAAGGTATGCTGGGAATGATAACTAACAGTTGCTTGTGCTCTCACCAGAACTGTCAAGCTGGTGTCATAGCTGATCACATGTGCAGCACCATGGCAACTGTAGAAAAGACCGAGGCCACGATGGTATCTTCCTTAGCTGTAAAAGGACAGGAGGGTTTAGTTTCCCTTTATTAACCAATGACAGGTGGGGGAAGGGAGAAGGTTGCAGTGGAAAAGATGATGCTCTGCTACACAGTGTACAGAGACAGGAACTCTGCTGGTCTCTGTATGCCTACGCATAGTGTTTTTAATGACATCCAGCTT